AGGACTTGAAGTACTTACTGATGAAGATCCAAGACCATAGCCTTCAGTATGGATTACACCTCAACGTAAAGAAAACAAAAATCCTCACAAACGGACCAATAAGCAACATCATGATAAACGGAGAAAAGATTGAAGTTGTCAAGGATTTCATTTTACTTGGATGCACAATCAACACCCGTGGAAGCAGCAGTCAAGAAATCAAATGACCTATTGCACGGAGCAAATCTGCTGCAGAAGACCTCTTTAATGTGTTAAAAAAGCAAAGATGTCACTTTGAAGACTAAGGTGTACCTTAACCAAGCCATAGTATTTCCAATTGCTTTATAAGCATGAGAAAGCTGGACAATGAATAAAGAAGAACGAAGAAGAACTGATGCCTTTGAGTTATGGTGTTGGTGAAGGATATTGAATATACCGCGGACCGGAAGAACGAACAAACCGGTCTTGGAAGAAGTACAGCTAGAATGCTCCTTAGAATCGAGGATGGCGAGGCATATTATCAGGAGGGTTCAGTCCACGGAGAAGGATATCATGCTTAGTAGAGGGTCAATGAAAAAGAGGAAGACCCTCAATGAGATGGACTGACACAGTGGCTGCAACAACGGGCTCAAGCATAACAACAATTGTGAAGAAGGCGCAGGATTGGGCAGTGTTTTGCTCTGTTGTATATAAGGTTGCTGTGAGTCAGAACCAACTCGAGGGCACCTAACAACAACAACAATAGCGCAACATTCTGAAGGAAAAATCCCAGTGTGTATTCAATCTACATCAGTGAGATTAGACATTTTTCCCAAAAAGTTCTCATTAGAGATGAATAATGAGAATTTTAAATGGTCAAAATGTGTCTACCTATAAAAGATGACACAACCTGGACTCTAGTAATAATACAATTTAATAAGGAAGTCACTCAAGTCTTTGGTAACAAAACAGCCTTAAAATATTTTCCTCTGTGTAAGAATTATCTTTGTAAATAGTTAAGTCTTAGTCATCTTTTGCTTTATAATTCGCATTGCTATTAAAATCAGATGACATTGCTATGAGGTACTCTTTTTCAAATTCAGGAAACAAATTTGGGGTGATTACTCACATTAGAAAAATAGTCATATAAAGATTTTCTGCAATGCTTCTTAAAAAAAAAAACTTTCTTGAGTACACGTAACTTCTAATATTTGATTTAGATATAGTCTGAGGAGTGTATTGATTGCGTTTTATGAGGTATGTATATTAAAAATACGAAACCACCATCAAAGTGTGCTACTTAAAGAAAATCACTGGTAAAGTCCTGTGTGTTATTGAAAAGCATGAAATTAGTACCTACAAATCAAGGTTTCCATGTGTTTGCAGTTTCATACTTTTGAATATGTAAAAGTGATAGGGAATAGGATTTAAAAAAAAAAAAAAAAACCTAAACGATGCTCCCTAAGTAGATATTATTTGAAAGGTTCTGTTAAGAAATATCTGTGAAGAAAGAACATCTGCCATTGCACAAATTTACAATAAAGAAAATTTTACTTTGAACTATCACAGGCAAAAATATTTAGAGCAATGTGTTTCTTAATTTTGACAGCTGCCTTCAATTTAGCTTTCTAAATACAAAATTGTTTAAATCTTATGCAAAATTACACTTTATTTCGAAGTGGTTCTTATCTTTGCCTTTAGCATTTAATGCAATCTGAAATTTTACATAAGAATAGTCAATAAGGATTATTTGGGTGCCTTCCAAAATCTCCATTCTTGCAGGCCCCATCAAAACTTCTTTCTCTGCCTGGTACATTGTGATTTCCACAATCCCACCATCATTCTGGCGGTATGTTCTGTCTGCACGCTTGGAAAGTGGGCATTCCAGATTACTGTCTCATCAACACAAGTAGAATATTATGCTTTCATTACGGAAGCAACAAAATGCCTCTCAGTGAGAAAGTATTTTAAAAAATTCCTATCAAAAACCACTACTCACGAATATTAAAAAAACACACGCGTGGACATAAACATATGTACGTGTTATGTATGTGTAGATATAGATAAATAGATATATGCTGAATACACTAAAATGTTCTCCTTCCCTGCTGGGACTCTTACCTTCATTTTCGGTGTTGGCTGGCACAGAGTCGACCCCAAAAGGATGCCACGGCTGGAGGTCATCGAGACTGAACTCGCCATTCACGGGAAGGAGTTCCACCGTGGTTTTTGTTTCAGTCAAAGATGGCATGAGGGCATCATTTCCATAACTGATTCTTGGTTCACTGATCATGTTGGCCAAGACATCATCTGAGTAATTTTGCTCTTTCTGAAGCAGCTCATCTACATGACACAAAACAAAAGCATCTCTTTTGTGGGTAATAACAACAATCACAGCAGCAACAGCAGCTACCATTCACTGCCTTTAACTGCCTTACGTGCTTGATCTCATTTAGAGCCGTGGCTTGGGTACCATTATCTCCATCCTAAAAGACAAAACAACAGTTGCTGTGGAGACAGCTCTGACTCATGGTGTCCCCCGGGTGTCAGCTGTGCTCCATAGGGTTTTCAATGGCTGATTTTTCAGAAGTAGACCACTACGGGCTTTCTGCCAAGGTACCTCTGGCTGGACATGAACCTCCAACCTTTCAGTTAACAGCTGAGCACGTTAATGGTTTGCATCACTCAGAAATTCTATCTCCATCTTGTAGATGTGAAAACTGGGGCACACAAAAAGTTAAGCAATTTACACAAAGTCACGGCTACCAAGTGGTGATGATGGGATTTGAACCCAGGGACGATGGCTCAGATGACTGATGTTCTCAACCTCTCTACCACTGTCTTCCCAGCTTCCGGAAGAGAGAACCTTAAGAGTTACATTGCCACCTCCTCCTCTGACACATAGTATACAGATGACCACAGAGGAATAAATGGCATGCTTTGATGTGGTACCTGAGGTGGCTGGTAGTAGCGCGCAACGTACAAATCTCTCTCAAGTCAAAGGATGTACCCAGAGGACCTTGAGTCTCTCCTTGAACACTTGCGAGGACAAGGAATGAATAACTGACAGGCAGCCCACTCCATTTTGCCCAGTTCTTATTGCTTTGCCGTGAACAAATCTGCCTTCCCCAAATGTTCTCCTGGTGCTACATGACCTAAGTTCTGAGTTCTAAGTTCTGAGGCAACAAAGATACTGTCCCCTTGCCCTTCCAGATGCAGCTCTGCAGACATGAAGCTCTACTCCAGCCCTTTCTTCTCTGGCTAAACATCACTGTCTCCAATGTTTCTCATGTGACCTGATACCACATACCTTGGCCCTTCTCCTCTGCTGCTTTAATTTTCTGAAAACTGCTACCAGCACTGGTTTTTAAATTGACTCCTCAACAAAACCTTAACGGAACATAACTGACTTATCTGAAGCTCTTGTAGTCTAGTAAAAATCTTCAAACCATAAATTTTAGTATCAATATGCATTTTTACTGGGGAAAAAACCCCAGTAATACTGCTTTAAAAACTGACCCCGGGGCATCACCAAATTTGTATTTGAATATTATGTTGTCAAAGATTGACCAGGTTTTCCTGTGTATCTTCCCCACAATTAGAGGCCTATGGTTAGCATATATGCTATTGACAATATTTCATTAGTCAAACATCACACTTTCTAATCATGTTGTCAAGAGTTTACTGTATTATATAAATTTCAAACCAATCCCAGGTTGGTATTAATGCTATAGAAAATGAAGAAAATGAAACCAGTATTTAAACTTGATTTGTAACATGATACCATCATCCTTCAAACCCTCTTTTAAATTGACAAAAAAAAAAAAAAAAAAAAATTCTGATCAAATATATCCATTAAAACAATTTGAGAGAACAGCATGCGATTAATATCCTTCTAAGGAGTGAGTTTTATTACAAGATATTATTTTACATGATAGAATTCCAAGCAAATCAGTCCTTTTGAAGTCTAATTTGAGTTATAATATATATCTCTTCTCTACAGCACCAATCTAAAATTCAGTATTTGATGGCTGAAATGACCTTTCCCATACAGATAAAAGGCACCCATTAGACTTCTTCCAACTTTTTCATGTCTTAGAGTCATGGGTAATGACTAATAACTTAGCCAATGTATGATTTAATAAATTAAATGGGCATTTCTTTTATATAAATCTTATGCTTCTGACTGTTAAGCATTTACTAGACTACAGAGAGGATATTCTGGCATAATAACTACGTATGCCTACACCTTCATCCTGAAAAAGGACAAACCTTTATCAGCGCTATCCGCTCTTGGCCCTACTTGGGGCCATGTTGTTCCTGGTGTCTTTGTGGTCTTTACCATCACTTACCTCTTCCATCTGGAAGTTTCTTCTCTTGCCCCCCATATGCAGAAGTGAACTTCCTCCCTGTCATGGATTGAATTATGTCCCCCCAAAAATGTGTAGGTCATGATTCCCAGTATTGTATGATTGTGTACCATTTTGTAATCTGATGTGATTTCCTCATGTGTTGTAAACTCTATCACTATGATGAGGTTATACGGATGAGGTCTACAAGATTGGATAGTGTCTCAAGCCAATCTTTTTTGAGATATAAGAGAGAAGTGAGCAGAGACACATGGGAACCTCATACCACCAAGAAAGCAGTGCCGGGAGCAGAGTGCATGCTTTGCACCTGAGGCTCCTGTGCTGAGAAGCTCCCAGACCAAGGAAAGATTGATGACATGGACCTTCCTCCAGAGCTGACAGAAAGTGTTCCCCTGGAGCTGATGCCCTGAATTTGGACTTATAGCCTACAGGACTGTGAGAGAATAAACTTCTCTTTGTTAAAGCCATCCACTTGTGGTATTTCTATTATTATTATTAAGACACTTCCCCTTACCTTTCTGTATCCCCTTAACTTGTATCTCTTTGCATCTTTCACTACAATTCTCCCCTTTGGAAATCCCATCCATTCTCATAACTCCAGGGATCTCCTACCTTTGAATGAATCTGAAATCTGTTTCTGCAGCTTTGACTTCTCCCTCTGGCTCTAGTTCTAACAGCTTGCTGGGTGTATCACCTAGATATCCCTCTTGATCCACAAAATTCGCATGCACAGTACTCAGCGGCCCTGTTCTCCCTCCTGTCTTCCCATTTCTAATCACAGCAGCACTGCTCTCCCAGTCACTGAGGCTTGAAGCCTTCAGAACCACCCATGATTCTGGCAACTCCTTTTTAATTCAACTTCTGAATTCTCTCTTACCCATCTCTTGCTCCCCTTTCCCATGGTCACTAGCCTGGCTGGAACATATCATTATTTTTTCCCCTAGATAATTGTGATGGGCTCCTCATTACTCTCCCTACTCTATTTTTTATCCCTCTTCGAGCCCTAGTGGTGAAATGGTTAAGAACTCGGCTGCTAACAAAAAGGCTGCCAGTTCAAATCCACCAGTCGCTCCTTGGAAACCCTATGGGGCAGTTCTACTCTGTCCTATAGGGTCGCTATGAGTCGGAATCGACTCGACAGCACTAGGTTTGGTTTTTTTTTCGGTTCTGTTCCCCAACAGAAGATTGGATGGATAGCTGCTCCCCATTTCAGTGGCTCCTTATTTTCTACTGAATTGAGCCCTAACTCCTTTGCCAGATGCTGAAGGCCTTCCACGATCTGGGCTGACCCCATCTTTCTAGCCAGGAGGCCTACAGCTCCTTGCTGTATACTCCACACTCACAGACTGAACAATCTGGGTTATCCCACACAGGATTGTGCATTCTCATCAGAACACCTTTGTTTTCTGTTCTCACTACCTGGGATGCTTCTCTCCCACCTCTGCTTATAAATCACACGAACTCTTTAAAAGTCCAGAAAAAATGCCACCTCCCTATGACTCTCCTCTCAACAACTTTATGAGGTAGACAATATTATCCTTTGTTGTTGTTGTTATTAGCTGTCGTCGGGTTGGCCTCCAACTCACAATGATCCCATGTACAACGGAACTAAATGCTGCCCCGTCCTGCAGAACTTCCACGACTGGTTGTGGATTGGACAGTTATGATCCACAGGGTTCTCACTGGTTGATTTTTGAAAGTAGATCACCAGGCCTTTCTTCCTAGTTTGTCTTAGTATCCTTACAAGATAGGAAACTGCTGCTGGAAGAGATTGGGCCAACCTCTTCAAGATCACACGGCCAGTAACTATCAGTGCTGAAATTCAAGTCCCCGGCTGCATATGCCAACCTCCATGCATTTAGCCCTGATGGATTCAGCCTCACGCAGTACTAGAGGAGGTGGCTCACTCTTAGTCATCATTCGCTTGTTCACTTACAGAGTAAATTAAATGTAGAACTCACACATTAGAAACACAACTCAGTTCTAGTATCTTCAGCAATGTCATCCTCACATATAATTTACCTAAGGTTTACTGAGTTGCAAGCTGACTTGATTACTACCAGCCCCATGGAATGGAATGGTTACTATTTTCTTCCTCCAAGTAGGCATGTCCCAGGCACAGGAAGCTGGAGGGGGTCCTGTACCATCTCAGACCTTGGCAGTGAAAAGGTAGAACAGGGAGTTGTCACAGGTGGGAAATCTCCCATCTGTCCCTCATGGGGCAATTCAGGTGGAGCTAAATACTGTGAGCCTTTTTCTCTTTCATCTTTTACACTGTTGGTAGGACATTTCCTCCAAATGGTCCCCAGAATGCTGAGCCCCATGTGGTTTAATGTTTATTCGAATCAATTTCAGGAAACGAAGGTGAGAATATAAAAACTCTGAAGACAAGCAGCATTCTTCACAGAGTGAAAAGCACTTTTTTTTGGGGGGGGGGGGTACAAAACAGCAAAAATTCATGTTCCTATCTTAATTTAACATAGGAGATTTAGAAATAGCCATCTCTAGCTATCTGATTTGGAACAATGAAGTCGGAGTGTGGTTTTAAGGGAGAAACAGAGGGTGAAAACGACAGACTGCCATTAGTTAGAGAAGGATTCAATCCGTGATGGTAAGACATCTAAGGCAGCCGGCCACCTCGGGACATGACTCCAGGCTGAGGATTTTACCAGCGGCTAACACAACTGACACCCAGCAATTCAGTGCATTGGAAAAAACCTGGGCCAAATGTGGTTACTTCATTGCTAATTCTGACTGGGACTTTATCTTTGACTTCTGTGCTGAGACGAATCATCCAGAAACCATGCTCCTACCATGTTGGTGGTCCTGATGGATTATCCTTTTATCTGAATTAATTTAATATTTTATTACAATGCTTTGATGGCCTATATTGGGACTTTCCAAAGCTTTTAAGCATCCACATTTGCCAACTGCCATATTAAGCTGAAAAACTAGGCTCATTTCCCCTCAAGA